AGAGAGAGAGAGAGAGAGATGTAAACCAGATGATAAATTATAATCTTCACATGAACCTTATTAGTACTACTATGTTATTATTATTATTATTATTTTATTATTATTTTTCAGGTTTAAAAGCTACTGAATTTTTTTTCTCAGAATATTTCACTTACATTCTATTGATTGATTTTAAATCAGTAGCAGTCCTCTGGAATGAGAAATATGGTATTAAACTCAGCAGAACATTCACTTGCTTATCTGAAGATGTGCATGAAATAATAACATGCTTAGAGAAGTTGTCACTTATGGAACTTCGCTGCTTAGTATGGTTATTAGAAGAAAATAGAAAGTGTTTCCCATTTCTTCATCAATGTTTAGATGACTATTTTGATAACCTGGGTAAGTGTGCAAGGATGCATAAAAAGTACTCTTATGAAATATTAGTCACCAATTTGAAAGAAATCCCCAGAAATAACTTGGCAGAATGGAATAGCTGGTTTTTAAGGTAATGTCAGGCTAGACAGGAAGCACCCACACTCTCCTTTCGCTCACTTTTACTCTCCCAAACATGAGGGAAGGTCTCTTCTGAAAAAGGTTCAGTGCCCTTCTTTTGACTTCACATTTCATTTATCAGACCATTGCCTAGGCTGTGGCTTTTCCTCTCAAGATTTTCCCACATAACATTAGAAATAGTAATATTTTGGGTGAGGGGTAGATTATGATGTAAATATAGAGATTAGGAAAAATGTAGCAATGCATAGGTAATGTTGGGTATATAAACTCTCAGCATATGTTTGATGGGAATGGAAGTTTATTTTGATTACCGTATTTTCAGAGTATAAGACACATCTTTTTCCCCCCAAAAGAGGGTGAAAATCTGGATGCATCTTATACGCTGAATACATCATTTTTGGCCTCCCAAAACCCCGTCTCCTTCACAAAAATGGACGTGCAGAGGGTTTGGGAGGCCTGCAAAGTACTCCTGGGGGCTGGAAAAGGCAAAAACAAGCAAAAAACAGGTCTTTTTTTGCTTGTTTTTGCCCCCAGCTCCCAGGAGCACTTTGCAGGCCTCTCAAATTCTGCATGCCCCATTTTTCACAAAAAATGAGGCGTGCAGAGGGTTTGAGATGTCTTCAGAGTGCAAAAACTTTTTTAAAAAATTTACCTCTTCAAAATCTTGGTGCATCTTATACTCCAGTGCATCTTATGCTCCAAAAAATACAGTATTCCTTTGACTATGATTTAGTTGTATGTTTGTTGTGTATATAATGGCAGGTTTGCTGGTTTATTGATTTCTGTAGCCATAGGCGTGGAGAATCCTAACTTTAAGCCTATTTTGCATATTGTATTGAAATTATTGTTTGACTTTAATTCACAACAATAACTCTTTAATTCTGACTATAAAAGCAAAAGTGCTATCTGAGTGGAGTGAGTCCTGGAATATAGTATTTTTTGAAATAATACTTTATAATATTTTGTGCTTTTTGTATATTTTCTTACAATAAATAAAATTTATTTTTTCAATAGATAATCCTTTTATTGTGTTAAGGAAGGAATATACTGAAACTACTTCAGTGAGTTTGTTTTTTCTGTTTATCTCAGTTGCAATTAAAATGTGAATGAATTAATAATTCTAAGAAGTTTAGAAGAAATAGACAATGTTAAACTTCCTATTAATTTTAGATTTGGTGTCGCATATATTATTTTACAGCTAATCCCAAATAACTTTTGTCAGTTTTGTCTTAGATGTAATAAATTAGAAAGGAAGTATGTACTTGTGTTTACATTATGAGGGTCAAAGAGCATTTGATGGGTTATTCTGGGAACAGAATGCTGGCAGCTGGATCTTTGGCCAAATTCAGCACAGTTCATCTATATATTCAAGGCTTTTTTTTCTTATTTACACAATTAATAAACAGCCAGTATACGGGGTCTGTTTTATTTCGCATATGTAATTGTAATGTTTTCACATCAGTGATCACTGGGTTTTTTCATTATTGTTCAATAATCAATAATCAAAGCCCATAATGTTCCCAACAGTTCCAATTTAAAAAAATATAATTATTAGCCTGAAAAAACAGCAGTTTTTTTCTGTATAATGTTTTGGTGTGACATGTAAATGCTAAACATTAAATTTCTTTTTTCTTCTAGAATAATGCTATCAAAGTTAAAAACAAAAACCGGAAAAAATCAAAAGAATCCAAGGTAAATAGTTTTAAAATACATCCACAATATTAAATCTAACAAATATCATCTGCTTTGCTTTCTTTACATTTCTTTCTGCTTAGTGGTTGGAGACCATTTTTCTATGTTTTGTTTTATTTTGTGTTTCAAAAACAATGTGAAATAGTACTTGACAGCTTCAAAATTTGTTGAATTGGGTGCTCAATGCATTTTGAAGCAAAATTCTTGTCCTAGTAGTCATCAATAATCATCAAGATAGTTAGCTGGAGAGTTAGCTAAAAGTAGTCCCCACAGCAATCATTAATATTTTAGTCTTTTTGGGTTCCAAGTTCCACTGAAGTTGGCTGCAGTTGTAAATAATGTCCAAATTCAGTGCAGAAGGAACAACAAATGGCATTTTTCTTAAAATGTATATGTAGTTTTGAGAAATAAATAGTTTTGATCAATTCTGCAGATATAAAATACTATTTGTTACTCATGTATTCAAAGGTATTTGCAGTATACAAGTAGGCCTAGTCAATTTTGATTACGGTTTGCCTGATTTTTATTTTTAAACAAGTTTTTCTGTTCTTAATTTAGGCTATTTTAGTTGTCTCTGGTGGAGTTGGTACAGTAGCTCAAGAAGAAGACAATATATTTTCTGAAGAAAATACGTTGTAAGTTGTGGTGCATGAAAATACAATACAATACAATAGCAGAGTTGGAAGGGACCGTGGAGGTCTTCTAGTCCAACCCCCTGCCTAGGCAGGAAATCCTATACCATTCCAGACAAATGGCTATCCAACATCTTCTTAAAGACTTCCAGTGTTGGAGCATTTACAACTTCTGGAGGCAAGCTGTTCCACTGATTAATTGTTCTAACTGTCAGGAAATTTCTCCTCAGTTCTAAGTTGCTTCTCTCCTTGATTAGTTTCCACCCATTGCTTCTTGTTCTACCCTCGGTTGCCTTGGAGAATAGTTTGACTCCCTCTTCCTTGTGGCAACCCCTTAGATATTGGAACACTGCTATCATGTCTCTCCTATGCATTTTTCAAAAAAAAAATCTAACCTTAATTAGATTCAGAAAAAAAATTTTTGTGGGAATTTTTATATATATATTTAAACATACAGTGCCCTACCCAATGTAAGACATACATTTTTGGCTCAAAATGATCCCATTTTATGTGCAGGTGTTTCCCTTTGACACTGAAAAGCTCTTCGATTTGAGGGAGGGGATCAACAAAATATTGCTTCCTTTTCTATTTGCTAAGGGAAATTTATGCTGGATCAAACAGTTCTTCACTGTTGGATAGGCACCAGAAAATACAATCAAATCATTATTTTTTAATTCTCCTTGTACCTTGAGGAAAGTCCTTAGAATATATAAGACTCAACTCCCATCAATATCCCACACAGATATTGTGAAAAAATCCTGATTATTCTCTGTTCTAGTAAGTTTGTAAAAGAACCTGCTAAAAAGGTTTCATTCCACCATTGAAATGGAAAGGTGCATGTGTCTTTTCTAGTTAGTGCTCATAATGTAACTGTACATTGGAATTAGGATTACCATAGTTTGCAACTAGTATACTAAACTATTGGCCTATTTTCATTTTGTCATACTGAGAATTCTCAATGTACTGGTCTGATCGAACAATTTAAACTATTTAGACACACCATAGTTTACAGTGCATTATTTTTTATATGGTTTTTTTCTCAACAGAAGTTTTATGAATCCACATGAGCCTTTTAGAATCCCAGATGATCTTCAAGAACAAGTTATGATGTTTGAAGCATTGTATAATACTGCTTCTTCTAACAACAGTTATCAGAGAATTTTGGACAATTACCCAGATCCAACTTGTGAAAGCTTATATGAGTATGTTCTTATTTTCACTTTTTAGTTGAGTGCTACTTATTAAACAAATGATTGGAGAAAGCGTTCAATTGAATTATAATTGTTAATTGTTTCAAGTTAAACCATTTGTATTTTTGCTAAATTTATGAAGAATTTATGAAAAGATGTTCCTTTCTAAAACTTTTATTGAAACCTCCCAAGGATCTGTTTCAAATGTGCCTTACTTTCTTTTTTTAAAGCAAAGCAATGGTTGATCAAATTTAGCTTTTAAGATAATTCATTATTGGAATCCTTTGGAACATTCTATTTCTTGTATGCTCCCTTTGTGAGATGGTTCTTTATTTCATTTTCCTTTATGTCAATCCAGTTACTGTTTATATTAACTTATTTTTTGCTGGAATTTTTTTTTAAATTGCCAGTAAAGTATTTCTCCCAACTACCGTATTTTTCAGAGTATAAGACACACCTCCCCCCCACCCCCTAAAAGAGGGTGAAAATTTGAGTGTGTCTTATACACTGAATGTAGCTCCAGCCACTCACCGGCCCCCACCCTTTGGCCTCTGCCTTCCAGCAATTTACCTCCTTGCAGCAAATGGGGAAAATGGGGCTTGCGGAGGCGGCAATAGACTATGACAATCCCTGCACCTGAAACAGCTGATGACCAGGAGGCTCATGCTCATTGAAAGTGAAACTTGCATTTTGCTACATGAATGCTGCATAAGGCAAATTGCTTGGAGGCAGAGGCAGATTTTTTTTTCTTGTGCTAATCAGGCAGTTTGCAGTTTGCTGCAAGAAGGTAAGTCAATAACTATAAATACCTATAGAATGTTCACATTATTACACTTATTTTTTAAAGACTGCTTTATTATTGTTCTAGAAAACCTAACAAATAAATGCTTGAACTGAAGAGACCCAGTGCTATGTATCTTCATTTAAATAGCAGAGAATAACTATACTTCCAGAAAAACACATCAATTTTAACAGCATCTGTACAAGTATAGTCTGAAATGTAACACCACAAACAGTGCATACCATCTGTACGTTTGCTGTTTGTTGCAAGGAGGCAAATTGCTGGGAAGCAGAGGAGATTTTTTTCCCTTGTTTTCCTCCCCCAAAGCTAGGCGCGTCTTATACTTCAGAGCGTCTTATACTCCAAAAAATACGGTATGTTTACCTGTTGTAGCTTGGCACCTATATATGAAAGTATCTGATGCTCCCCATACCAGGATTTAATACAAAGTTTGCTAATTGCCTTAAGGTGCAAATTGCCTTTATAGAACAAGTTGCATTGTAATGGCTTCAAACATTGCATTTTGTTTACAGTTCTCTTCTGACCAAGTTTCTACTAGCAACATGGAAAGGGAAGTGGGGCAGTCCCAGATGACTACTTCCTTGAAATCTCTGCATGTTTGTTTAATACTTGATTTGAGCCATTCATTTTTAACACTTCCTTTCAAATGTGTGGGTATTTCAGGATGCATTCAGACAATGCTACAGTATCAAGAAAAACTGTCCAACTTCTCCCGCAACATGTGATATTTGGAAAGCCCTGTTAGTGTTTAATACAAAATAACATAAAGTCTATTTTCTAATTTGTAGATATTTTTATATTTCAAATTGGAATTCTTAAGATTTCCACACTGTGTTACTCCTGTAACAACAAGCACTTAAAAGGTAAATCAGTAACAAACAGTTGACTTTATGGCTGCATCATTCCAAATCAAATACTTTTTTTTGGCCTCCATCTATTTGAATAATTTGCTATATTTCTGAATGCAGCTTCTTTGAAATATAAGAATGAGAGAATTTCCCCATTTCTTACTAAATGTCAGTTGTTCTAAACACTTTTGAGCAATCAAATTGCATATATACAGATTATGAATGCTTTTTTTGTATTAAAATTATATTTTGATTACTTTCACAGTTATTTTTCTCAAATCTTGGAAGAACATGGTCCCATGGAAATTGATAATCCACTATTAGTTGGGGAATATGAAGATTTCCCCACAGACACTCGTAAGATAGTGGAGAATGCCGGTGGTCTAAAATCTTTTCTTCTGGGATCTCTACGTTTTGTTATGGTGGATGATCTTATTGGATTGATGAAACATGCAATTATGCTGCAGGAAAATACAGAAGTAATTGAAATGGATGAAAATAATTATTCAGAGAGCCCATACTGCCACGAAAACAATTTCCATAGCATTTCCAGTTTAAATCCAACTGCTAAGGAATTTAAGCCTGTCTCTTTTATTAATAAGCCTTATATTTCAACATCTACAGATAATTTAGAATATGTGACTATTAGCCAGTCCTATAGTCCTTTTGCTTCCTCATATTCCTTTTCTAGTCAAACTGACACTGCACCAGCCGTATCTGACAATCATACAATATTTATGAATGAAATTGATTCAGAATATGTAAATGAGAGACTATCTCCAGTGCCATTTATGCCAGATATTTCTGAAGAAACCAATTATATATATATAGATTGTAACACTTATCTTGATGCTGATTCAGAAGCAACACATAACAAGTGTAATGTTGATAACTTTACCACAGTTGATCAAGTACATACATTTCAGAGCAGTCCTTGTATAACAGTGAAATCGGACATTCACACTTGCACAAAAAATCTTGACCAGACTGAGGACCATGGTTGTAATGATGCTGAATGCAGTTCTGTTACTAAAATAAAAACAGAGAATAAATATCTAGCAAGAAACAATCCCCGTTCAAGGATGATTGCTATACAGGTGAGAAAAATACATTATGTTGTGCATATTCATTAACTAATACTTTCTTCCTTTTTAGATTTGACCACTTAATGTGTATACTGTACAGTACTACAGTGGTAAAATATACTTAGTTTCAAACTGGAAGCATTCCTTCATTTTGCCAAAATTTTACCAAACCCTTCTAGAATGGTTATAGTGTGACAAACAACACATGGAATGTTTGGGTTTCAGACAAAACAGAATCTGTAAGGATCAGTTTGCACAGTATACTGATAGACATTGATTTGATTTTGATGCATCTCATATGTATTGGCTAATTGCATATGCTTAATTACTGAAAAATCAAGTGCAGCTCAAGTATTGGATTTTTTTTTTGCATTTTGGTATACACAAACTGTGTGATTCTGCTTCAAATGCTCTTCGGAAGTGATGAGTCAGATCTTGGTGGTGGTAGGCCAGAATACAAGGAGATTCCAAAAAAGAAAAAGATGATTTGTCTCAGCCATATTTCGTTTGCTCCTCTGTTGGTATGCATTTTCCACAGAGAACATTGGCTTCAACTCAAATGAAAGTTTCCATTCTCATTCCATATGCTAAAATGCTGCCCACCCCATCTTCCACTTCAACATTCTTCTAGGAAGAATCTTTATTCTTAGTCCAGAAGGAAGCATAAAAAAGAAACACCCTAACTACAGCCCTGTACCTTCATAGTCCAAAGATCTGGTGTTTCTGGTCATTGTCAAAGTAGAATAAAAATACAAGTTTCTTTGATACCTTAGGGTTCTTTTGACATCTCTTCTGCTCAGTATTATAATCAAAGTGCACCAAAAGCAATAATTTAGTTTAGTTTTTAGTTTTATTATTATTTATAGGCCGCCCTTTTCCCTGAGGGGACTCAGGGCGGCTTACAATATATAGGGAGGGGAGTACAAGACAATAAAACATAAAACAATACATAAATAAAAAATAGTACACACCATTCATTCGGGTGGGGACGGATTGTGACTTTTATCCCCAGGCCTGGGGGGATAGCCAGGTCTTGAGGGCTGTGCGCAAGGTTTGGATGGTGGTGAGGGTACGAATCTCCACGGGGAGATCGTTCCAAAGGGTCGGAGCTACTACTGAAATATGTAAACGTATTTTGTGCTTAGAACAACAGCTGCAACTAGGAAGGTCAGTCTGACAGTTCTCAGTGGCTTGGAATTTCTTATGTGTGACTCAGGAAAAATCAGGAGTTGTTCCAGGATGAATAGGAAAAGCTTACATTGCTTTTCCTCTTTTTCCTGCCCCTTTACCACATGGACTCTGTGCTCCCACAACCAGTCCTGCACCTGATTTTCCTTAAGTACCTTAGCCATGGCGAGCACATTTGAAATCAGTTAGGGCGTACCAACTCAGCCCATCCCTTCCAGTATCTTTCTAATATCTCCAATATTTGGTGATGGTGCATTTTTTCCATTGTTTTCTACTTTTCAGAATGAGGACTACTTGAAAAACCAAATGACATCTTTCTGGGTTATTATATTTCAGTAATTTGTCAACTCCTTTAATAGCTTATTTTTCTTTGTAAATATTAGAACTATTCTCTTTGTCATGTAGTCGCTTATTTTTATGTTGTGTGTCATACTTAGTTCTGAATATGTGTATGTATATATATATGTATGTATGTATGTATGTATGTATGTATGTATGTATGTGTATATATATACTCATACACACACACATATGTACACAAACATTCTGTTGAATGTATTTTTGGGCCTTTATAGGTGGATCAAGAACAAACAGATGCTGGAGTTAATACTTTACCTCTTCATCCTTATGAAAGCCAACAAGTAAGTAAACTATCAGATATATAGTGTGTCCAGCAAGATTGAGGTTATTGGTAATCCTTGTCTTTTGACCAGTTGTTTAACAACCATTTGAAGTCGTGATGACCTCAGAAAACATTACTGGCTTTTGTAAAACATTGAGTTATGGTGGAACAGTGATTAGAATGCAGTACTACAGGCTACTTCTGCTGACTGCTGGCTTCCTGCAATTTGGCAGTTGGAATCTCACCAGGCTCAAGGTTGACTCAGCCTTCCATCCTTCCGAGGTGGGTAAAATGAGGACCCAGATTGTTGGGGGCAATATGTTGACTCTGTAAACTGCTTAGAGAGGACTGAAAGCACTGTATATAAGTCTATATAAGTCTAAGTGCTATTGCTATTGGAGTCATATAATCACAATCTGGGTGCTTGGCAACCTGTTGGCACAGCCAGGTTGCCCAGTGCTCTGCGATCATGTGTTAACATTTGCAATTTTCTCTTCTGGCTTCCCTAAAAAGTTAATGGAGTCAGCAGAAAGGATTGTCTCTAAAGGGTGGCTGAAAGAGCTAATTGCCAAGGGATGCTGAATTCCTTCGGAAGGGTGGAGAAATGAAGCTTAGATTATGATACTGTCATTCAACCTCCATTTCAGGAGTTCTGTATGCAGGGAACTGACATCCTCCTGTAGAGTTCAGAAACTAGAGTGCCAGGATTGCAGTAATTTTTATCTATGGCACAATAATAATTTTAGATTAGTTATTGGTGTTTTTATGGTTATGCAAACTGATTAAAGCATTGCAGGAATATAGGATGTAACATATGTTGCAGGGAGATATGTTACGAATGGAGAAAGAATATCATGTACTACAAAAACAACTTAAAGAAGCAATTGAAAAGTATGAACAACTTAAACGTCGAAGTTCCAAAGAGACCAGTATTTTAGAGGAAGAGTTATCACTACTTATTGAAGGAAACAAGGTAATTATTTTTCATCATTAGCAATTATACATATAAAGGGAACCATCATGGTTGCCACTATTATTTGTACAGTTATATGGCCAGCTGTATTTTGTGCCTTTTTTAATTTTTTTGCTGAAAAAAACTTTGCCATTATAATTCAAACTGTATTTGAAATAATATTGTTTTAAAGCCTTTTTCACTGCAACATGGAAGATTGTTACACTAAATTATTAATGTACATCTTAAAAGAAAAAAAAGTTGCTTAAGCTGTGTACTATAATGAGCTGTGGTGGTGCAGTGGTTAGAATGCAGTACTGCAGGCTACTTCTGTTGATTGCCTGCTACTAGCAGTTTGATTCTCACTGGCTCAAGATTGACTCATTCTTCCATCCTTCTGAGGTCAGTAGATTAATATAATATTAGATTATTGGGGGCAATATGCGGACTCTGTAAACAGTTTAAACAGGGCTCTAAAGCATTGTGAAGTGGTATACAAGTGCTATTGCTGTTACTACTGTAGTTAAAGTTTCTATTATCCTGAAAATCGGATACTTAAAGAGTTGTTATTTCTTTTGTTATGCAGCAAAGTGACTAAAAACAGTCACTTTGCTGAGACGGGGGAGGGGGAGAGAGAGTATTTCAGATGTACAATAATAATTTTACATATCACTGGTTTTCTTTTTAATCCAAATAATTCCTAAACACTGTTTTTTAAAATTCAAACTTGGATATTTTGTTTTAAGAAAGCATTCTATTATGTTCCATGGGAGGGTTTAAATATTTTTTGTTTTACAGCTCAGCAAGAGAGAATTGGATTGGTTTCATCAAGATGCAGAAGTGAACTTTAAAAAATGGCAACAAGAAAAAAAAGAAAAACAAGAAGGAATAAAAACAGGAAAACATAAAGTCAGAAAGCTGATAGAAACCAATGAAACGTAAGTTTATTCTGAAAATGAAAATATGTTCAGGTGGTGAGAAGTTAGAGTTAGGATTACAATAGACTTTAGATTTACATATTTTGTAAATAGTTTGTTTCGGAATATAGGTGGTCCTTGGGTTATAATGGCAATTGCAGCTAGAATTGCCATTGCTAAGTGATGTGATCATAAAACAGAACACCACATGACCACATCATTTAGTGAGGGCAATTCCACTAGTTACTATTGTTAAAGGGAGGACCACTTGGATCATAAAATGAAGTCTTCTCTGGACTGAAACTGCCTGCCAGCTTCCCCATTGACTTTGCTTGTGGGAAGGTGGCAGGGAATTTCATAAATCATGATCACATGACTTCAGCTGCCTATGATGGCTGAGGATATATTGTAAGTTCTCCTTGAACAACATGAACAAACACACATGCATACATATGTTTTTGCTCAACTCAAGGCACAAACGTATCTAATTCTTCTGGTGCGTCCTTTTCCCACAACAATAACCTTGAGAGGTGAGTGATTGGCCCAAAGTCCTCCAGCAAATTTTTATGCATAAGGGAGGTCTAGAACTCACAGTCTCCTGGTTTTTCTGCAAGCAGGTTAACCATTATAGTAAAATTGATTCTCAAATCACTTTAATGGTATAGTATTCTAGCTGAATAAATATTAAGACATTTTCAATATTCTATCATACAAAATAATGAAAAGTTGCAAAAAGCTCCTTGTTTCTTCATATTTTTATCCTAGAAAAGTTAGTTGTGCTAGTAATTCTACCTCCAACTCAATCTATAGAACAATTGGACGAGTTGCATTAATAAAACTAATAATGTTAGTATATACCGACATAGTTAATGATGTCAAAAATAGGCTGAATGATTTTCTTTTAGGTATACTGATTTGTCTCTGAAAAATGCTAGTCAACATACACAATTCATATTGTTGAATATTATTCTCTGTATGATTCAGTTCTGATCTGTGTATTTTCTTATATGGCTTAATATGGTTATCTAATGTTGAATGTTGGCTGAAAGGGAAAAATCCTGAATATTGTAATATAGTTAAGAAATATTGTATTCAATATTTATATACATGATATTGCTTGTTTGTAAACATCTCTGTAAAAAACAGATATATGAAAATTATTGATGAGAAGGATAAACAGTACAAAGCGTATTTGGATGAATTTCTGGAGATCAGGTAGGCATAAATTTGCTTTAATCTTTAACTCGATATTTCATAAATCGTTTCATGGGTTTGGTAAATGTATTCTGTCTGTTAAATACTCAGGGATTAATTTCTGGAAAACGCAATTGTTAAACCCACAGTGAAGAAACTGTAATCTTGTCCAAAATTAACAGTGAAAAAGGCACTTTATAAATCAAGCTGAACATATTTGCTGTGTTTAATTAAGCTAAAATTATTTGTTGCTACTTATAAATAACTAGGCAACCTGGAACCCATTGGGTCATTCTTTCCACATATAATATCGCCTTATGCTGTTTCCCCTCCCCTCACAACTCTTGGGAGAGCCCTGTTGAAACCTCCTCTCTTCTGCATCTGCCTTGTAGCTGATGTTGAATTGTATAGCACAGCCAAACATTAGGAGATGAGCACAGAAAATGTTTTATGACATTTTATATTATGCCATAAAATGATTTTTATAATTTTTATGTCATAAAGTGTTTTATAAAATTTGCTAATTTTCAATTTCATGGGAGTCATGGGAACTGGTTTGTTAGTGGGTCCATTTGACGTACTTTGATTTTAAAAAAAATTACCCTGTGATTCAGTTTTGCTAGTTAATGCTTACTGATGCAAGAGTTTTACCGGTGTATAGATTGTATGCGGAATTGATTTTTGTTTTGCAGATATTCAGGCACATAGACATCTGAGCATATGTTAATCGTTTTTCACTTTACTTTACAGCAATAGGTTTGAATGTGAAAAAATCAAAATGGAGGAAGCTATAAAGAAGACCCAGGATTATCAGCAAGAATGTGTTAAAAGAGCAATAGCAGCTGAGGTAAAATATATGGTGCTATTTGAACATATTGCTGATTCCTACAAACTGTTTTATTATCTTAATATTTTATCATGTTTGTGATGTAATACTGTTGTCAGGCTCTACCCACTAGGATTTATTAGCAAATCACATATCTCATGATTTTTCATGGCTTTATTTAGTATCTTGGCCAAACTTGGCAGAAGCAGCTTGGACCAGCTGAAAACTTTATTGTAGATAAAAAGGAAGCCCTATATGAGTTGGTTGTCCATTGACAGTGAAAAAATGTAAATGATTTTGTAGTCTTTGGGTTTTAATTTGTGGCTTCTTCCTCTTATCCTTCCAAATGAATGGATAGTTGTCCCAGTACTAGTTGGTCTTAAAGCCGAGTAATTGTTATATCTTTGCATAATGGCATCTTTGGCCAGGAGCTACTGGTTCCCCATTTTAATCTCACAACTCTCCCTTCCATTTTCTATTCCCCCTCTCATACATTTGGAAGGATCCTATGTATCTTTCCCTTCTTTCTGCTGAACTTCTGTGGCAGGAAGAGGTGTCCTCCATCTCAATTTTTTCATCATCAAGTACTTTCTCCATTTTAGACTTTTTGTGAGTCCTGGTACCTTTTCTTTTTTGTGGGCAACCTCCCCCAGTTCAGAGTTCTCCTCTCATTTTCAGTGAAAAAACACCTTTTTTTCCTCATTGCTCATGCATTCTTACTCCTCCTCATGAAGTTCTCCTCCTTTTCAGAGTTAGAATAGCTGCCAGATACAAACATTTTATTAAGTCTCTGTAATAAACTTACAATAATTCACAAAATGTTGAGGTTTAAAGTTATGGCTTTTCTTCCTGCCTCTCTAAATTACTGTAATATATTATTTGATGCAGTGCATGGAGGTCCAACTGGCTTCCTGCAACCCTCAACACTGACTCAAGAGGGAAATAATAGAGAATTGATAATTACATATGGGCAAATCAACATCTACCATTCTCACTGATAAATACTAATCAAATGTAATAAATTGGCCTGTTTTCAAGACCATTTAAAAATATTTTTGGTACTTTAAGGGGGGGAGGAGCAAATAACTACCATTCCAATTTTTACAATAGAAAATGACTGTAATCATCCATCTAAAATATAGCTAGCTGTTTTTCTGCTGAAATTTGGTAGTCAAAATTCAACATGCTTAAAGGCTATTGCAAGAGGCAAACTGTCCATTCTTCCTTCATTTGGGTCAAAATGTTACAATTTAGAGTAAGTTTCAGAGCACACATACAGCTTTAGTGTAAACTTCTAGTTTTTAGTTTGTTGCTACCTTGATTTTTCAAATATATTTATACTGTTATATTTTTAAGATTACAATGTGCAGTAATGAAAAAGAGTAGCGTCATAAGTGTTGGTGATTAGTTATTTTCTATAAAATTAATGTGATAGACTATTTTCTCTAACTTGGTGCTTAGATTTACATTAATATTATTTCAGGTGTCAGTACTTGAAAACTGGAAAGAGAAAGAATTCTATAAACTAAGCAGAAAATCAACAAATGCCAAAGCCAATCTTAAATATCTAAAATTCATGACCAGGTATTGTTTACAATATAGATATTCTGTTGCATATGTGGTTATTGTGAAAGGATACTGAATGGCAATATAAATCAAGGTTTTTGAAATTGTGTCCATGGTGAAAAAGCATTTTAATCTGAATGCAACTGATTTTCTACTATTCAGAGTCTTGCTTCTTGATTAGAAATTTGATTTTTACTAGCATAATCCATGGTCTCAAAAGGGATGAAACTCTGCCATCAATGACTTAGCTCACCATTAGCTTTTGGCATTAGATTCTAATTCTAATTCATTAGATTCTAATCCTAACAAATCATATCTCTTACTAAAATTTCATGTTACAGTTGCAACATAGAAAAAAATGTGTCATGTGAACCATGTATCCATATTATTATTTGCTTCATTGAACTTATTATTGATAAAATATTGATAAAATACTTGTTAGCAAATTGTATTGGCCATTTTTTTCTGAAATCCAACAGCTGTTACAACTCATTTTGATGCTTGAAAGGACAAAAGGGATTGTATTGCTTTTTCTTCGCTTAATCCAAGTAATTCAACATTTTCCCTTTTTCTGCTTAGGCCATGCTCTGTTATTTTGTTTTAAACGTAACAGTACAAAGCCTTGATACTCGTTTTCTTTCAAAAAGTCTTGCTTTTCAAATAATTTCAGCATCTACTTTTTATGTTTCAACCCCATAAACATGATTTGGGAATGGATGCAGGGGGAAAAATCTAATTTCAATATTTTAAGCAGTACTTATATAGCTTGAATTACCAAATTGTCATTTCATGGTTAGAATCATTTTTAATTATGAAAAATCAGGATTATAAATGAATTTATAAATGAATTAATATCAGATTAACTACATAAATTAAATTATACCATTTTCAGTCATTCTGCAACACCTCAGTCAAAATTACAGATTGATTCTTGGGAGTCATTTATTTCCAATATTGGAGAAGAAAAGAAAAAAATAGAGGTAAGTCTCTTGTGATACTTTTTATTCATTATTGTGTTTTGGTAGTGCCATAGTTGAGCAGTCATATCTGAAATAAGAAAATAGAGATATAAACAAGCTCTGTATATCTCTGTAGTTTCTTCACCCCTTCATTTACACAAATGGGAAAATAAACCAGGAATCACAATCATAGCATCCTCTTCAAAGACCGAAACAATGGCTTCAAGGAAGTAGCCTATTATACGTGCTGAGAACCATGATTTAATACCAAGAGTTTTCTGAAAACGAATAAACTTGTTTCAGATATAACTGGAAGCTATCCGTTTTGGCTTCTCTATTTGTCATCCTGCTTACAAAGGAAGGAGTAATGCAGATACCTGTCCAGACATACCTGATATGTGTAAACTTACTCCTTGCAAAAATTACTTAATACTGCATTGCTTATTTTATCTGTTTGAACAATACATTTTCATAATGCTGTGGTTTCATCTACATGAGACAGCTGGATGTAGTCTTTTGCTGTCATGTGGTGCAATATCTTTATGCTGATGATATTCAGTTGTGTATCTCCACCCCTGACCAACCAAGTGATGCTAGCCAAGTACTGACTCAGTTCCTGAAGGGAATAAGCATTTGGATGGGGAGAAATTGGCTTCAGCTCAACCCATACAAGACAAGAGTAACTCTGGATTTTCCCTCTTCTTGGCTGTGATAGAATGTCGTGCCAGGGCTGCAGTAACCCAGATAGAGCTGGTACACAATTTTGAGGTCTTTGTGGATTCACAGCTTGAGGAGACGGAGCAGCCATGGCTGGAGCAAGGGAGGGTTGCACAGACCTATCTTGTATGATATTTGTGTGCATTCCTGGATTAGGAGGCTGACTCATAGTCATTCATGTTTGGTCAGTTTATTATATCGCACTCTACATCAGATTGCCAGTGAAGACCATCCAGAATGTAGCAGTAATGCCACAGTTATGGGTGTTCCATATTTTGCCCAAATTATACCACTGCTGTACAAGCTGCAATGGCATCCAGTTTTTTTCTAAGTACAATTTAAATTTCTGGTTATCACTTTTAAAGCTTAGAGAGTACAGGGCCAGGCTACTTATAAGACTTCCTCTCCCTGAGGGTATCTGCCTGTCCCAAGTCAGATAGAGTGGGTTTGCTCCATGTCCCCTCTCTTAAATGTTGTCATCTAGTGGGGTCTAGGAAGCATGCACTGTACCTGCCTCTGCTTGTAGAAACCCTTCTTCAGTGATCTGGCAGGCTCCCATTCTCCTTGCCTTCCAGGAGGCCTGATGAGGTGGCTTTTTCACATGTATTGAAATGAGATAATGCTATAGTACAGCTTCATAGTGCACAAATGCATGGGATAGTGATGCCTTGGGATGCAGTGGTGTTTTTGTCAATTTCATTTTTGGTTTGGGTTTTTTTGGGGGGGAGGGGTTTACTTGTGTTGTATTCTGGGCAGAGTTGTTAGTATAATATGTGTGGTTCAGGGACGTGCAGTCACTAGAGGCAGGGGAGGCGGGGCCTCAGTCTCCTGAGGTAAAGGAAAGAATTTTAAAGAATTTTTTAAAAATAATTAAAGCCAGGG